TGCGCGCGCCGCGTGTCTCCGTACCTCAGGCTTTTACAGCTCCTCCGCACTTCTTCTGGTTTTCTTCTTGCTTCTCGTTGTAGAATTTTCAGTCAGTCGACTTTCCTGTAGTTCTGGGTAATGTCCATTTTATATTTTAGTTGTATTTTATTGAAATTGTTGTGTGCGGCTGCCGCTAGGTGTTTACCTGTCAGCCATCTTGGAACGACTCATCAGTTCAATACATTTAAAAAATATATTTAAAAAAATTTTTTTTACAGAGAGGAAGGGAGAAGGATACAGACAGAGTTAGAAACATCAATGAGAGAAACATCAATCAGCTGCCTCCTGCACACTCCCTACTGGGGATATGCCCTCAACCAAGGTACATGCCCTTGACCGGAATTGAACCTGGGACCCTTCACTCAGCAGGCTGATGCTCTATCTACTGAGCCAAACAGTTTAGGGCATCAGTACATTTTTATAGCATAGATTCTAAGTGCAAGCCACTGAGCTTGGTCCTGGATGAAATGAGGAAGACAAAATCCCTGACTTGAGGGACTTCAGATGCAGGAAGGTGGTATATAAACACATTAACAGCCCAAAGCTGTCTTTGAAAAGTCAGAGCCAAGAAAGGTCTAGACTGACCAGAGCTTTTCCTGATTGACACATGATGCTATTGGTGGCATAGGCAGCCATGGCATAAGCTTTCTAGTGAGAGAATCAAAGTGAGATAGAGGAGCAAGCACAAGCAAGAAGTTTTCTCTCCATCATTCATCTTCCATTCTCTTTAACAGTATTTTTTCTCTCTTTTCTGTACAAAAACCATATACACTTTGGTCCAAATTTTGCTTGCACCTCACCTTTCTCCTTTGCTTTCTATTTTTTCCTTTCCTTTCTTTTTATTTACTTTTACTTCTTGACTACTGGATCATTGCTGATCTAGGTCTTCTGAAGCAGGCTCAGGACAAACTGAGATCACAGATTTCATCTGAAGTTTTGTCAACATGTTTACCTAAGGCGATGACTTTCAACCTTTTTCATCTCATGGCACAGAAATAACTAAAATTCTGCGACACACCAAAAAAAGATTTTTTTTGCCAATCTGACAAAAAATAGATATAATTTTGATTCATTCACATCATATGGCAATTGTGTTGGCTGTTGTAATTTTTTAATTTGACAATCCAAAAGAAGTCAGGGCCCCTCACTCAATAGTCACATATTGCATGCTTTGAAAAATCTTATAGCACACTGGTAGAAAATTGGTGATCTAAGGTAAACAATTACATAAGATTACATAACATTAAAAAAATGCCTTTTAGCCCAAGTGAAATATTAACCTAGTCTTGTCAATTCAGTCAAGGTTGAAAATCCGCCAGCCGATTCCTGGCAGTAAATAACGCTCCACTGTTTAACCAATTTAGTATTCTTATTCCTCTTCCTTGCCCACACTTCTAGCCTATCTCTCTCTTTTAATCTTCCTTATACTTTTTTTGTCTTCCTGTCCTCCAACCTTCCTCTTTCCTGTACTCTGATTGTTATTTTCTTTCTCCTTTCTGAAAATATCTTTTATCTTTTTCCACAGACTGTAGACCCCCTTTGTGACACGGGTTAATAGGCCCTTTCTGGGCCTTGATTTTTCCTCAGAGAGAAGTCCAGCTCCTTGCCCGCCAGCACACAGCCACCTGCAGCACAGCCACACTGGCCTGTTTGGAAGCAGTGTGTGCAAGAAGCTTGCCCTGCTAGAACTGCTCCTCTAGAAGACTGCTGATTGTGGCATTCCTTCCCCTTTCATCATATTCCCTCTCAATTTTCTTCAAATGTCTCTTCATCCTTAGGAGTGGCCCAGAGACGGTACATGGTGGGATTCGTACCACTGTCCGTCCGGTGTGCTGTCAATGAGCAGGATGCAATTCTTTACTAGGGCCCTGTGTGGACCAGTTCATTGTTAGACGCATTGTAGACAGCATCAGTAATTCTGGTTTTGCATGTACAACTCTTCGAGCCCCAGGAAAAGTTGCCCATATCTAGCCTCAAGGCACTGGGCTTTTTGCTGCTTCCTCGCACTCTGACTGTGTGTATTCAGTGGATGCTGATCTTGCTGTTGGCCGCAGGGCGGCCCAGCTCATATAATTGCTTTCTCTGATAGGGCTTTCTCTTGTCCCCTATCTGTGGCACTTGTGCCAGTTGTCTTGAGAGATGCCCATGGCTTGGTGCCTACTGGGAAGAGAAAATGCAAAGTCACAGTCCTAAAATATATCTTTCAGAAATGTTCTTTGTTCATTAATTCAACTAATATTTATTGAACAATTACCTCATAGTAGGTCCTTTTCTAGGTGATGGAGTAAATTCTGGCAGTAAACAAAATAGATAAGTAACAATAAACTAATCCATACTAATAAAAGAGTAATATGCAAATTGTACCTTTACAACACCCACCAGCCAATCAGGAGTGATTATGCAAATTAACCCACCAAAAATGGTAGGTTAATTTGCATACACAGGTGCTGAGTAATCGGGAGTTGGGCACTGATCATCCAAAGGAAATGGTGTTCAGACAGGTGGCAAGGAGATAGGCTTGTGTCATCGCCTTGGCGACAACGCAGGCATTCCACACCACCCCAGTTACTTTGGGCCTCTAGGCAGCAAGGGAAGGCTGAAAGGCAGCTCCAGCCAGAGTGAAAGGCGATGCCGGCAGCTAGGGGAAGGAAGGCCCATTATTGCATGAATTTTTGTGCATCAGGCCTATAGTTAGAAATAAACTATGACACAGTGTTCAGTGCTATGGAGAAAAATTCCTGAGGACCAGGAATTTGGGTGGTGTGTTACTGTTACAATTTTAAAGGTTGATAAGGGAGCCTTGGTTGGCATGCTCAGTGGTTAGAGCATTGGCCTGTGCACCAGAAGGTTTCTGGTTTGATTCCAGATCAAGGGCTGATACCTGTGCTACAGGTTCAATCCCCACCCCTATCAGTGTGTGTGTGTGTGTGTGTGTGTGTGTGTGTGTGTGTGTGTGACAACCAATTGATGTGTCTCTCTCCCATCAATGTTTCTCTCTCCCTCTACCTGTCCCTTCCTTCCCACTTTCTTTAAGAATCAATGGAAAAAATATCCTCACTCCTCAGGTAAGGATTCGAAAAAAGAGTTTGATAAGGGGAACTCATTAGATCCTTTGAGCAGATAAGGATGCAAATCCTGCAAGTATTTGACTTGCATGTTTAAAGGATCTAGAATATTGGGAGGCAATAGAAACAAAGAAACCAATCAGATTATATTGCAATGATCTAGGCCAGTGGTTGGCAAACTCATTAGTCAACAGAGCTGCGGTTTGCCGATCACTGATCTAGGCTAAACTTTAGGGGAAATATTTTCTAAGGATTGTTAAGCATTTTGAATTGTCTTAGGCATTGCTAGGTGATCTAATGCTTGGCACATAGAAATATTAGTCAAACGAAATGATTATGTAGTCAGTTAAATGGGTAAGGCTGAATTACAATACCAAGTAACTTGCTTGAGCACGATTCATTTCTCCTGCATACTCTGGGGATGCTTATTATCGTGTCTACATTTATTTAGGGAAGAACATAAAAAATACCACAGGATATAAACACTCCTACTCTTCAAATGAAATCGTAGGGGGCACGTATCTATGTCTTTTAAGTGGTTCCACAGCCATTTGTACAGTCCTTAACTGTACTCGGTCACATCTGCCTGTCTCCCAATAGTCTGAGTTCCTTCAGGGTTGGGATCATCTCACCTAGCACAGTGCTTGGCAACAGTGCCTGTTGGAAGCATACATGATATGATCAAGGGCATGGAAATAAAATAGGTGAAATACAAACACCTCCAGAGAATCTTGTCCGATTCATTTCCCTTAGGAAAAAAACAATTCACAGCCTATGGCTGTAGAATTTAGCCCCTTGACTTCTAATTGTGTTTTAAGCCCTGATGAGCTGGAACAGTGTATTCTGGCCCTGTTTGAAGGGCCTGGAAAACGTCTGCGGAAGCGGAACGGAGCTTTCAGGGCCTGAGCCTTGCAAGGTGACAGACAGCTCCCAGAAATCTGGAGTGGGCACTGATCACTTCACCCAGAGGAAATGGTGTTCAGTCTGCTCCTTAGAGGGAGCCTATGCACAGGTCCCCTCATCCTCCCGAGACTGCCCTTTCACCCCTCCCCCTCCGCCTCAGGTGAACTGCCCTCCCCCTCCCCCTCAGGTGAACTGCCCTCCCCCTCCCCCTCAGGTGAAACTATCCCCTCCCTCTCCCTCTCCCTCCCCCTCAAGTGAACCTGTCCCCTTCCCCTTCCCCTCCCTCCCCCTCAGGTGAACTGCCCCTCCCCCTCCCCCTCAGGTGAACTGCCCCTCCCCCCCCTCAGGTGAACTGCCCCTCCCCCCCCTCAGGTGAACTGCCCCTCCCCCTCCCCCTCAGGTGAACCTGTCCCCTCCCCCTCCCCCTCAGGTGAACCTGTCCCCTCCCCCTCCCCCTCAGGTGAACCTGTCCCCTCCCTCTCCCCCTCAGGTGAAACTATCCCCTCCCTCTCCCTCTCCCTCCCCCTCAAGTGAACCTGTCCCCTTCCCCTTCCCCTCCCTCCCCCTCAGGTGAGCCTGTTCCCACCTCGCCCTCCCCCTCAGTGAACCTGCCCCCTTACCCCCTCCTCATCAGGGTGAACCTTGAACCCAGGCCCCTCCTCTCTAACCTGCTTCCCCCAGCCTCACGCAGAACTCTGCCGGCGCCCCCCACTTCGGCCGCACTTCCGCCTGCGCCCCCTCCCCTCAGGCCGCACTTCCGCCCGCCCCCTCCCCTCGGGCCTCACTTCCGCCCGCAGCCCCTGCCCTCGGGCCGCACTTCCGCCTGCGCCCCCTCCCCTCGGGCCGCACTTCCGCCCGCCCCCTCCCCTCGCGCACAGCCCTTCCGCCGCGGGCGATCCGCTCGGCGCGAGCTCTCCTGAGGCCGGGCTGCGGGCGCTCCTCCCGCCTTCCCGCCGCCGCCGTCGTCCTCGTCAGCCCGGCCTCGGCAAGATGGCGGCGCCCAGGCCGCCGCCCGCCGGGCTGTCCGGCATCATGACGCCCGCGCCCATCCCGGACCTGGAGGCGCTCCGCGCGCTCACGGCGCTCTTCAAGGAGCAGCGGAACCGGTAACGCGCCGGCGGGCGCGGCCTGGCCGGGGGCGGAGGGGAGGCCCGGGCCGCCGAGCCCCAGCCGCTTCCCCCCGCGCCCGCTGCTCCCCCCGCCGCCCCGGCGCGGCGGGGCCTGAGGAGCCCGCAGCCTGTGCCGCGCGGCCGTGCTGGGGTCGGAGCTCCTGTAGCTGCGGCCGCGGGGCCGGGCCGGGGCCGGGGCCGGGGCCGGGCGCGGGGTCACAGGGCGCTGGGGTCCGCGTCAGGCACGAGACGGGGCCGAGGCTGGCATCGCCTGTCCCCCTGCCGGCCTGGCCACCCGGGGCGGGGCGGGCGGCCTGGGAGAGACGGGGCAGGACACAGCCAGGCCAGGTGCCCAGGAGCCCGCAGGCCAGGATGTGCTTCCTGGCCTGAAGCTGCGCAAGGACCGGTTGCTAGAAGCCCTGACTCCTTTCTGAACCAGGGGAGTGGGCACGTCTCTCCGTTGCCGGGCGGGGCGGAGGGATAAATGCAATAGCAGGCGCGAGTGCCAAGTCTGTGATGCCCTCAGTCAGTGTGTGTTTGAGTTTGTTCTAATCCCGGCCTCAGTGTTGTCATCTGTTTCATAGGAATAGTGCTCTGCAGTACTAGCCTGTTTCCCCGAAAATAAGACAGTGTCTTATATTCATGTTTTCTCCCGAAGTTGTGCTAGGTCTTATTTTCAGGGGATGTCTTATCTTTCCATGCGCTGGGTCTTATTTTCAGAGGGTGTCTTATTTTTGGGGAAACACGGTAGTACCTCCCTGGTGGGATTATGTAAGGAACATATGAGATTATGCATTAAACCCTTTTAGTACATAGGCGACACTTCCTAGCTGTACCGGTTAGTAAGGGCGGATTTTGTAATAAAAGAAAACACGATAATTTCAAGAGAAACATCAAAAGTGCTGTCTTCAAAGTTCTGTCCATCGCTAGCCACACATTAGCCCATTTTTCAGGTAATTTGTGGATACCGTCCCAACAGAACTTTTCTTTTGGGGCAGAACATTCAGGGGCCCAATTTTCCTCTTCATTCATTTTGAAGTGCTGCTCAGAAAGTGCGTGTGCAAAAAAAAAAAAAAAAAAAAAAGTGCGTGTGCCATCAATCAGAGCAAGTGGTCATCTGAAGGAGCAGGGTCTGGTGAATACGGCGGATGGGGTAATACTTCCCAGGCAAGATCTTTTTATTTTATTTTATTTTTTTATAATATTTTTTAAAAAATATATTTTATTGATTTTATACAGAGAGGAATTGAGAGGGACAGAGAGTTAGAAACATCGATGAGAGAGAATCATCGATCGGCTGCCTCTTGCACACGCCCTACTGGGGATATGCCCGCAACCAAGGTACATGCCCCTGACCAGAATCGAACCTGGGACCTTTCAATCCGCAGGCCGACGCTCTATCCACTGAGCCAAACCGGTCCCGGCTGTTTTTTTTAATATTTTTTTTATTGATTTTACACAGAGAGGAATTGAGAGGGACAGAGAGCTAGAAACGTAGATGATAGAGAAACATCGACCAGCTGCCTCCTGCACACCCCCCAGCGGGGATGTGCCCGCAACCAAGGTACATGCCCTTCACCGGAATCGAACCCAGGACCTCTCAGTCCTCAGACCGACGCTCTGTCCACTGAGCCAAACCGGTCCCTGTCCAGGCAAGATCTTTTAACGTGTCTTTAACTGGTTTTGAAGTGTGTGATGGTGCGTCATCATGAAGCAAAATTATTGTGCTGGCCCATTCTGGTCGTTTCATGATCAAAGCGTGGTTCAAATTGATTATTTGTTGTCAGTAGCAATCAGTATTAACGGTTTCACCTGGTTTTAGAAGCTCATAATACACCACACCTTCCTGATCCCATCAAACACAGAGCATTGTCTCGTTTCCAAAGCCATTTGGCCTTGCAGTCGATTTTGATGGTTGACCTGGCATTTGGGATTCTCAAAATAAATCCTCTTTTCATCGCCAGTCACAATTCGATGCAAAAAAGACTTTCTTTCGTGCCGTTGAAGCAACATTTTACTGATGACTTTTCGGTTTTCCATTTGTCTTTAGTTCAGTTGAGGTGGCACCCATTTTCCTTCCTTTAAAACACTTCCAGTTGTTTGTAAACGATTGGGAATTGTTTGCTGAGCAACGTTTAATTTTTCTGCAAGCTGATTTTGAGTTTGACACCCATCTTATCCAATAATGCTTGTAATTGTTGGTCTCCAAACTTTTTCTGTTGACCTGGACGTTCTTTGTCTTTCACATCAAAATCATCATTTTTAAAGTATGTTTAAACCAGCGTTCACAAGTATCTTGAGATGGAGCATGTTTACCATAAGTTTCCTGAAGTATACGATAACTGTCAGCAGCCCCTTTAAAAAAATTTTTTTTTTATTAAATTATTATCTGTGTACATATACCATTGTCCCCCTCCCCCCCATCAGCAGCACTTTTCTTCAAAATAATGAATTAAAACTTCCGGTAAGTGCTCTTTTTTTTTTGGTATGAAATTGGACATTTTTAAACATAAAAATATCTATGATGTTAACACCTTCAGCAAATTTGACATATGAAGTTTTGAAGCTTGTTGTGAATACAACAAAATAGCGCACATATCAAATCACATACGTACACATATGTATAACTTCATCTATTGAAAAAAATCCTCATTGTTAACTAGTACACCTACCTAGTAGTACTAAGTAAGTGGTAGCTCATCTTGTCACTTCTTCATATGTTTGTGTTCCCTAAATGCCAGGTTTTGTGAAAAGTCCTGTTCTGGGAAGCCAGCGGACCGTTGTGTAGCCATGGGCTGCACACACAGGGTAGAGCGGGCACACAAGAAAGGGGTGATGGAGGTGGGTTGGTCCAGATGCTCCCTGGAGGTCCTTAAACTGGACGCTGTCGTTGGAGCACTCCTGCCTCAGATCACAGTGGTGGGTGTCCGCTGAGAGAGTGCTGAATGCTTTTTGGGAGGTTATGTTAACTGATGTGGCACTGATGGCAGATGTATTGAGTTAATGCCTCAGCAGATCTGAACCAGATGAGCCTCTGGTTAGTTGCCAGCCATTTTGAGCACCCAGGTGAAACAGGTTCTGTGCTGGGGGTGAGGTACAAAGGTGAAGGTGACATCCCTTTTTCCAAGCATATTAGGCAAGTTGCTGTGTAAACAAACTAATGGGAGGATCTAGGCAAGAAGAGGTGGGGCAGGGGACCATATGGGTTGGTTGGATCATCGACGAGCCAGGAAAGGTTTTATTTTTTATTTTAATTTTTTAAATTTTTTAAAAATATATTTTATTGATTTTGTACAGAGAAAAAGGGAAAGAGATAGAGAGTTAGAAACATCAATGAGAGAGAGTCATCGATCAGCTGCCTCTTGCACACCCCCTACTGGGGATATGCCCGCAACCAAGGTACATGCCCTGGACCGGAATCGAACCTGGGTCCCTTCAGTCCCCAAGCCGACGCTCTATCCATTGAGCCAAACTGTTTTTGGCCAGGAAAGGTTTTAGATGACATTGGCTGCCTGGCTGACAGGGAAGAGGGCTAACTAGGAAAAATAGTACATGCAGAGGGACCACAGGCTGATTTTGCACGGTTCCCAAAAGGGTTAGATGAAATAACAGGGAGGTATCTGGTACAGGAGACATTCAGACATTACACCCCTCTCTGTAACTGGATAAAACCCAAGACCCAGAGTCAATGTTCAAGGCCTTTTCCTATCCTGCCATTGTGGGGGTTAATGGGGAACAGGGAAGGTCCCCTCCAGGGAGTGGCATGATAAGATCTGTGTATTACGAAGAGCTCCCAGGCTGCCCTTGTCGCGCTAAATTAGAAGGGGAGGCTGGAGGCAGAGGCCTCTGGAGGAGTGCTGCAGAAGCCCCAGTGAAAGAACAGTGCTGAAGCAGGCCAGGTCTGTGGGGAGGGACAGGGTAAACGTTGAAAATATTTGCAAGTTGTATGGACAGGGACCAAATGAATTATTAGGGGAGAAGCAGGACACAGGTGCTGCCCACATTTGGCTCCAGTTCTTCTGGAGCCTGCCCTGTTCCAGGCAGGGTTTGGAGACCAGGATGTGAGCTGATGTGCAGGTCTTGGGCGGGGAGGCGGTTGTTGTTGAGGCACAGACTTGATGGGAGTTTGTAAGGACGGACTTCTGGTCCTGGTTCTCCACTGCTTCTTTGTGTGTCTTTGGACAGATCACTAGCTGCCTTCAGGGGGGTCTCCTGGTTTAGACCAGATCCAGTGCTCTGAGAGGGTCCCTCCACTGCAGAGGAGCCCAGAGGAAGGACGGCTTCAATGCCAGGAGCTGGATGGGAGAGGTGAAGCACAGTGAGGCCTCTAGTAGCAGATAGAAAACATCAGACAAAGAAGAAACAGACGGAAGGAAGTAATTGATGGGACAAGATTTGCATGTTAGCTAAAAAAATGTATTTTGTACACCTTCAAAGATTTGATGATATAAAACTAGCTTCTGTCTGTGAATAACTGGAGTGACAGAGTGTCCTGTAGTGGAAAGAATATTGACTTGGGAACCAGGTAGGACCTGGAATTTTCTGTCTCTCTGGACTTCTTATTTCTCTACTTGAAAATGTGGTTGAGAGGAGAAACCAAGATGGCGGCATAGGTAAACGCCTAACTGTAGCCTCACATAACAATTTGAAAAATACAACTAAAATACAAAATGGACATTATCCAGAACTACAGGAAAGTTGACTGACTGGAAATTCTACAACTAGAAGGAAAGAGAAAACCAGAAGGAAAATCAGAGGAGCTGTAAAAGCTTAAGGTATGGAGACACGGTGCTCGCGTGTGGAGAGGACAGAGCCAGAGGGAGGGGCAGCTGAGTGCCTGGTTAGTGTTCCCTAGCAGGAAGAAGATAAAAGCTCTGGACTTTGCTGAACCCCAGTTCTGAGAGCACTGAACCCCAGTTCTGGGTGAGACTCTGGGGACCCAGGCTCATACAGAGGGAATCTGGGCTGTAAGGTGGAAACTCAGGGAACGGCGAAAG